CTGGTAGTCTGATGTGCTACTACATAGGGGCTGCTGAATTTTGTGGGTGTTTCTCTTCAACTTAGCACATCTCTGAGACAAGGGTCTTCTGATGCTTGGGTGCTTTCCTTTAGTTTTTAGTCTAAAATACGCCATGGCCAATTAAAAACCATGTTTTCTGCTAGTGGAGTCATTTTACTGAAAAAACTACTGTTTATCTGGCATTCATTGTCCAGATGTATCCTTTTATAATGACAGAGACATGGAGATAGCTGGCTGAAGTGAATCTGCACAGCCCCAATGAAAATATCTAAACTTTTTAGACAGAATATATGAAAAAATCTTACAAGACCCACTGTTTGGGAATTACTTGACTCCATAAAAATGTCTGAAAATTAGTGAAGTGAGTAACTTTTCCCTCAGCTGGCTTGTGGCCTATTCGTTAATTAGTGATTACAAAGGCAAAGCCCTAGGTACAGACAGTACCATTTATATTTCAGTCTCAGGGAGACTTAAAGTGTCTGGCTGCTATGAACCCATGCGAGGGATTGTAGATATATTGCTCATCCATTGTTATATGCTGCTCATTGCAAACAGACTGAAAGTCATGGCATGTGTCAGTTTGAGTGTAGCATGGCAAGGTGCCCAGCTGCAAAAGCTGGACTGATCCTGTGCTCTTTGAGACAAAAATCAAGACTGCAGAAATGCTTAGATGTAGTGCATGGCACTCCTCAGGAAGAAGTGTTGCTAAAGAAATTCCCTTTTTACTTGAAATATTTGCGTGCAACTTCTCTGAGCTCCCAAACCTTCTTGGGAGCTCACAGTATGAAGCCCCATATATGAGGGCATTTGGGACAGTTCTACTTTGGATCTGTGCAGATTCCTTTGCTGAAATGCTCAGCCTAATTCAGCATGCTTTTTTTTTCTCTTTAGGGGCAGGTACACTAGTGCATAGAGCAGGAAGTCTCAGCCTAACCTTCTTTCCAACACAGGCACTGCAATATTGCCTGTGGGTACTTGCAAGGGAGAGGATTTGTCCTCCCTGCCACACAGCTAGAGGATGCTGAGTGCCGTACAGACTCAGCCTCGCAGTTGAATGGTTCACAGTGGGACCTGTCAGGCTCAGGTGGCTCTACCTTCATGTCCCTTGGCAGGATGTTTGACTGTGCATCCCACTGTTTCTGTCTCCTCTTGGAAGTTCAGTTGTGGATTTTCTGTGTGAACGTCAATCCCTCTGCTGATGTTAGCTAGTGTGGTACATGATCTCTGTCGTGTGCATCATCACCTAGTTCTCAGGTGGTGATAACATATTTTGCAAATGCTCAGGCATGATGTTTTGGAAGTGGCAGTTTCTAACAGTGGCCTCCAGCTCCAGCAGGAGTTTCAGGATCTCCTCACACACTTCTAGGTTTGCAACCTGAGGTTGGCAGCCTGGACATTTCCAATAAGATGGGATGAGAACGCTGACATTGAGACACCTGCCATCATGGGTACCCAGGACACAAAAGGCACTGGGCATGTCAGCTGGCTAACAGCCAGCTCCTACCATGCATGCCCAAATGTCTGCTAAAGTTTGGGCTGAAGACGGGGTCTGTTCATTAATTCTTCATGCTGGTAGTAGAAGAATGCTCTAGAAACACACTTTTCTCTTGAAACACATCAACTCTATGATCTACTTTTAGTCTGTTCCTGGGCTGCAAATACCCTTTTGCTAATCTGCCAATGTTGTCTACACCACTGTTTCTTTGACATTTCCCTAGAAATAATGATTGCATGAGTTCCTCAGCTGGGATAAGGTGACCCAGTCAACACTACAGCTGTCCACATCGCACTGGGCTTTTGTTAGCCTGGCAGGAAGATGTATTGCAAAGAGCCAATGACAACAGCTGAAAATCTCTTATATCTCCTGAGACTCAGGTGCTTTGGCTGTATGAGCCCTGTCTAGCACATTTCTTCAGCTCCCCAGTATGACTGTCCCCTGAACTGGACCCCTGTAACCTACTTTAAGATGGTGCCTCTGGTTCTTCAGACTGGGAAGAAGAGGAAGGAGGAGTTATATCCTCTGGCTGGCTTTTGTCATCCTGCTTTGTCCCCATCACCATTGCTGACATGCTGCTTCCTTTGGGCCAGAGCCTGGTGATTCATTAGAGCCACATCCATCAAGAATTTCAAAATTTAAAAAACACACTGACTGTCCTTGTGTTGCCTTGGAGAACATCCCTGGCATGCACTGAACAACATTAGCTTTTCACACACTTGGCCATCTTCATGAGACTAAGTGTATCTTGTTATGCCAAGCCAGCTGGATCTGTGCAGAAGTTCAGAGGAGAGTTAAAGGTTGTTCTTTAGGGGGCAGAAGGCTGCAGTCTGTCAGGTTACGCATTTCTTAGGAAAGGCTTTGACTGTAGCCAGAGCAAGAGGGACCCGATCTGCTGTGACAACTTCACACTGCTGAGCAGAAGCACCTGACTCCAGGGACCTCCTGGCCATGGAAGTTGAAGGAGACACATCTAGTGCCTCTAGCTCTTCCTATGATCCTCCACCTGTCCTGCAGCACTGTGATTAATAGGCTTCCCATCAGGAGAGGAGGCAGTGCAAGCTGGTTGGCCAGGTGGCTGGGAAGCTTGTGAGTTGCAGTTATTTGGGAGGCTTCTGCTGAGTCTTCTTGCCTACCTGAGGAGGTGGAGAAGGATGAACACGCAGCACAAGGAGCCACTTTTGGGCTGCTTGAGCCAGATCTATGGCTTTGCAAGCTGCTTTGAAAATGTGGGGCTGACCTAAATAGATTGGGCAGGCGAAAGGTGAGAGGACAGTGATGTTACTGTGCGCTTTCTCTTGTTATCAGATGAGGTCACAGAGAGGGCTTGGACAGGTCTGCCATGATGCTTGGGATTAACCTTGAAGTTAGGTTCAAGTGTTGTATGCTACAAGAGACCCCATGCCCCACCTGCAATGCTTCATGGGCTCTGCCCCAAAGCTGTCCCTCATCCAAGCTTTTTTTCCTCTCAACCAGCTCTAAAATGGCCTTCAGGCTCATTAAGAGACCCCCCTCTAGGAAACAGTCCATGATCAACTACCCTCTCATCTGGCCTTGCCCATGACTATGGATGGGAGGGAGGAGAAGGGGAGTTCCATGGAGCTGAGGATACTGAAAGGTGGGATTGCTACTGTTGGTCCCTCATGTGAAGACCTGCGGCATGCTCATAAATCCAGCGATGTTGTGTAGTTGGGTGCCTTACAAGGTCCATGTAAGGAACACAGGGAGAGATGGGGGTTGAGCCTTTGGTTAGCACCAATGGAGCTGTTCTGGGGTGTCCTGTGGCACCTATCCGATTACCAGTCCATCTGATCTGGATCTGGCTGGCACCTTTCAGCAATCACCTACAAAATAACTCAGAAATCCCCCAAGACTCACAGGTGGAGGGGCCAGGCTGGTGAAATCACTGGCATGACATCAGATGAAACTTTTATAACAACACAGAATTTTTCAACTGTGACAAAGTCCCTGGACAATGTGTTTGACCATGGGTCACTGAGCAGGGTGGATTTTTGCCCATCTGGCTCCTTGATAGTTATTTAATAACCAGTAACAACTGTTGAGCACGGAGCCAAGGGGATATGGGTTGTTTTGAAGGTCAAGTGAGATGTCAAGCATTGAGCTGATAGAGAGTGGACATAGGGGACAGAGTGGCTAACCCCACATTTGTGGGGATTTGGAAGAAGAAGCTGAGCTTGGGTGATACAAAACTGGGTGCCTAATCCAGCCTCCAGCCTCTGTATTTTCTGTTTCACTGGTGGAGGGGAGTGAAATGGCTTTCTCA